GCGACCTTCTAGCTGAGAGGCGACGGTGCTAACCACTGAGCCACTGTGCAGCCCCCATTTGCACTACATCCCATTAAAAAAACAAAAAGGTTCTGCGTGTAATGGTTAACCTGTAAAGCCGTGACTGACTCAGAAGTTTTGGCTGAACTGCAGGCAGTGTTTTCACAAAGCGGTGAATTAAAAATGTATACAGTTCAACATCTATAGTTTGCAGAGCCTCCATTTTCCATCATCCATGATCCTGTGGAGACTTGAAATAGTGTTGGACATGCTGAGTCAATTATGGTAAAATAAACAATCAAATAAATTCAACTTCAAGTTCTTGTCCTTCATGTTATCCATAGAGGTGCAGGACTTACACTGCAGTGAAAAATGAGCTCTGCATTAAAAACACCTGAAGAGGCAGGTAGTTTCAGCTCTATATTAATCAAATACTACCTTTCTTGTGTTATCTCAGGTATTTTTCACAGTTTTTGACCTTTATTAAAAAGCATCAACAGTTAGCGTCTTTCTCTAAGTGTAGCCCTGTGATAGATTGGCGACCTGTCCAGGGTGTCCCCTGCCTTCACCCTAAGTCAGCTGGGATAGGCTCCAGCCCCCCGCGACCCTAGTGAGGATTAAGCGGTGTATAGATAATGGATGGATCAACAGTTAGCACTGGATGAGCTAAACTCAACAGGTTTGCAGCTGATGAGCTCTGAGCTACTGTAGCAGCAGCAGGAAACAATCTGCTGTCACAACAATCCCACAGTCAGCTCAGAGGTGTTCAACATCTCCTGACAGCCAGACATCACACATAGGAACGGTTTGTATCAAACACCGCAGCTTACAGCTCAGACACGTGCTTAGAAAGTCAACTTGAGACCTTTTCTGAACACAAGAAGTTTTCATGACAGATCAGAACCTGCAAATGCACTGCTGAGGATGAAGTTCCAGAAAAGCCAGTTGGGCTGCTGTGCAGGCTGACAGGCTGCAGACGTTTAACAATTTAAACACTTTACAATTCATTCCACATACGATCAACCAAAAGACTTTGCCACACAGTGAATCATATCTAGAAGATGGTCTAGAACTGGTTCTGCCCAGCCACCATAACACATGCTGACATGAGCCTGGAAAGTTTACCCAGAATGCACTTTGTAAAGTTTTCTCTGGTGAATGATCAGAACCAGAACCACATCCAGAGTACCAATGATTGTTTCTATGACTCTAGACATTAAACTGCTGCAGTCGGACTGTTACCACTATGAGACATCCCACGGTTCTCGCCAGCGTTAAAACAGAGTAACGGCCCGCTACGCTGCTGCCTGAAAAAATTACGCTGCAAATTGGGCTGATTCGTTGTTTTCAAGGGTGTGTTACTGGCAAATGATCATTTCTCTACTCTAACATTAGCGTCTGCTAACTCAGATTTGTTCTTCCTCCTAAATGTCATGTGTCTATCTGCTGTACTGATGAAGTTCTTAGGCTCAGAAATGATGGAAACAGTCCATTAAAGTGATCAATCTGGACCCTCCTCTATGGACTTCAAGGACCTGGAACAATGAAAATATTCATAGTATGAAAGTGAAACTTTGTTTTATGAAATAAACTACTGTTCCTGTTGGTGAGTAACCAGCTGATTGTGAGGAGGTCAGGTGAATGCACTTTGTTGGAATCAGCCCCCAGACAACCACCTACCAGGACTGAACGATAGAATCTTGTTGCAATTAATAAAAATGGAAAATACTGGCAGTCTCCAGCTTCTCAGATGTGAGGATTTGATCCTTGTCTGTCATAATTTAAATCAATAACGAGGATAATTTTTGGTTTCGACCCGAGTTGTGCGAGCTCAGCCACAATATGTAGGACACGGAGGATCATACCAACATGTGTCGTACTCGTGATCGCGGCTGGAAGCAGAACAGGAATGTCTTTTGCTGTCGGCAGCTGCAACTACAGTAAATCTGATATGACATGAACACAACACGAACCCAGACACAACTGTAAACGTAAAGGACGACCACCAACTCTGGTTGTGCACAAGTTAGGTCTGTTTATACATTTGGCGGTCTGACTCTGCACAACTTCAGGCTAAAAGACAAGTGGTTCATGTAAAACATATATGATAATTATTATGATTTATTGGATGTTTTACTGTCGGTAAAAGGCAGCTGTGTGCGTCCTCTTTGAACGCTGGAGGTATGACGAAGCTCCAGCAGCCAGGACTTGAAAATAGACGCCCCACTAACTGCGCTGGGTAATGTTGTCGGGTTACTGGCTAAACTTGGCAGGCGTTGAATCAAATTCTAAATATTACTGTGCGAGCCTCTCCAAGTACAGCCTCACTTAGCTGGGTTGGAAAACATATCAAGCAACTTTTAAACTTGTATCTGGGGGGAAAAAATAGCAATTTGATCAAGTTTTAATCTTGTTTTTATTTTTTTAAAGGTTTTTCAAATGAAAATTCTGAGTGACAGCGAACTTTAAAATACGCCTGTATCAGCTGAAATGAGGCCGAGAACAATTCAATTCAAATAACTTTATTTATCCCCCAGGGGCAATTCAAAAGCTCACTGAGTGTTTAATATAAAGACAATAAACCACATCGTAAATATCACATAATCTCACATGGACTTTGGCAGGGAGTCAGCGGGTCGAACATGGCATGTTGAAGGAGGACAACTCTGGGAACAAAAGTTCAAGCAGAAGTTGCCCTCCTTCTCTACGATGTCATCTTTATAAATTCATATGGATTTAACACCTTCATCTATTCCTTTGGTGTTAACATAAGACACAGACGGGAACTTTCAGGTTTTACAACATTGTGCAACGACTGAGCTGTGAAGATGTTTACAGAGGGTTTAAAGCTGCTGCCAAAGTCAGAGAGCCACTAAATAAGAGAGAGTTGCTTTTACTTTGTTTAGGGCTTTGATAGAAACCTGGATATTATTTTTTGAGGGGGTTTTAAGTAATAAGCCTCTTTTGACGTTATTCTGATCATGTTTACAGTTTAAGGCTACAGTTGTGCATGTTAATATCTTGACCTTCCTAAAATAAGGGTCATTTTTTAACAAAAGATATATATTTTTGCCTAAATCATCTCCTCATGATGCTGGCCACCTCTGGTACCATCACTGACATCCTCAGTTTGAACAGATCAAGCGATTCTACCCCTGTAGAGTGCGACTTAGGCCCAATTCAAAAGACAATGTGACTTACGCAATTTTACAAGCTTTTTATATATTTTTGTTTACACACATATATAAATATTTGTAATTTTTTTTGTTTCTATATATTGTCATAATATTAAAAAATATATTTTCTTACGACAATTATAATGCTGTATTTGCACTTATATTTTGCTCTTGTTTTATTATACTAATTATTTATTAGGCTTTTTAAAAAAACAAAACAACAACAACAAAAAGACAAATGAGACCTGAGTACTGATTTTGTACCACAAACGTGTGAATGTGAGCTGGCATGACAAATAAAGTTCCTTGAATCCTTGAATCCTTCAAGATGGTGGTTGTTTATTTCCATGACTCAGGCCTCGTCCCCTGTTGGTAAGTGAGGAGGTTTCCTATAATACAGGCCAGAATATAAATATTACA